ACAACTCACACTCACACACCAAAAAAACTAAGAGGCCAGATTTGCTTGTATCCTTGCAGACTCTGGCCATCTATGACCGGTTTGGCCGGTTGATGTATGGACAGGAAGATGTACCCAAGGATGTCCTGGAGTATGTTGTATTCGAAAAGCAGTTGACAAACCCATATGGAAGCTGGAGAATGCATAGCAAGATCGTTCCGCCATGGGCACCCCCTAAGCAGCCCATCCTTAAGGTAAGGTGGCTTGCATGGTTTAAAGAGAGCTGAGGCAGTACTTGGGGTCTGCTAAGCCACTCTGTTGGGCTCCCCCTAGTGGCAAGAGGGGGTGATGCACCACCGGGGAAGGGAAGGCTTGGTGGGTGGGCGGATGGATGGGTGGGAGCAGGGGATGAAGTTCTTCTGGGTTAGCCATGGGCTTGGTTGGTGGGTAACTTGGCATCCTACTCTTTCAGACGGTGATGATCCCTGGCCCTCAGCTGAAACCAGAAGAAGAATATGAAGAGGCACAAGGAGAGGCCCAGAAGCCTCAGCTAGCCTGATGACAAAAATGACTTCTAGGGTGAAGCCTGGGTGATGAGGCTGCTGGAAGCTTTGAAGTCTCCCATTCCCATCATGCTATAGAAAGAACTGCCTTTGTTCTCTCCCATCCTGCTCAGGTCTTTTCAGTAGTCTCATCCTCAGCAACCATGGCTGATGGCTGGGCCCTAGCAGGTGGCAGGTATAACATGGCCATGTACACTCTTCTTTTTTAAATTTTATGTCTAGCTTCTGAGTCTAGATGAAAGACAGTATGTTTCAGAGAACATTGGATACCAGTTTTTTCCACAGCAGGGACTGAGAGAGAGAACCAGCAGCATCCTCTTTGTAATCACAGGGCAGGGATCAGAGTTTGAAATAAAACGCTGTCAGAGTGTTGGTAAAATTTTGGTGAGTTCTGTACATTTCCCCTGGTTCAGGCTGGGCATAGACCGGCCTTCAAATGGCAGAAGTGGAAGATAATCCTGCTTGTGAGTGATGTGACTTTAAGGAAATCTAGACTGGGAAAGAATAATTAGTGTTTATAAGATATTTAAGAGGCCCTTTTTCATTTACTGACTCACTGATGAATCAGCATTTGTATTTTATGGAAAAATATAAATCCAAAAAAATAATTTGTCCCTCAGCCTTTGATTGTGTTCTTAATTATTGGCTGTATCAGGAAGCGCCGGGGGAGGGAGGGACCATGGAGAGATGGTTACATTTGGAAAATTTATCTGCAGTATTTGGTTCCCTGATTTCTAGCACCACTTGGAGATGGGGACTGTTCTTTCCAGCCCAGTGTTGAAGGTGAGTGTACAAGAGTATGAACCTGTGCAGAGGAAAATAGGCCAGCCCCTCCTTGTTCCTTAGCTCCAGATGGGCTGTTAGAAGGGTGTGGGATCTCACATGCCCATGTGTCCTAGGTCATCTGAGCGTGACAAGAGAAATCACTTTGTTTTTGTTTTGTTTTATTTTTTAGAGATGGAGTCTTACTCTGTCGCCCAGGCTGGAGTGCAGTGGCACGATCTCGGCTCACTGCAAGCTCCACCTCCCAGATTCAAGCTATTCTCCTGCCTCAGCTTCCCAAGTAGCTGGGACTACAGGCATGCACCACCATGCCTAGCTAATTTTTGTATTTTTTGTTTTTAGTAGAGATGGGGTTTCACTATGTGTTGGCTAGGCTGGTCTCGAACTCCTGACCTCAGGTGATCTGCCTGCCTCGTCCTCCCAAAGTGCTGGGATTATAGGCATGAGCCACTATACCGCCCAGCCAGAGGAACTACTTTGTACCAGCAATAAACTTAGCTTATAGTACTGTTGCTTTTATCAGTCCAGTGTGGGCTCCTCTTGAAAAATAGGGCCTACGGCCGGGCGCGGTGGCTCAAGCCTGTAATCCCAGCACTTTGGGAGGCCGAGACGGGTGGATCATGAGGTTAGGAGATTGAGACCATCCTGGCTAACACGGTGAAACCCCGTCTCTGCTAAAAAATACAAAAAAAAAACTAGCCGGGCGAGGTGGCA